TAGCCTTGCTGTGAGAGCTGAGATGGCCACAGCTTGCTTCACGTTCTTTGAATGTTCCGATTTTCAGGAAGAAATGCCTTCCCCGATCGTGCTTGATATTTCCAACATGCATGCCCTGTTTGGAATGTCAAAGCTAAATCCAGAAGCCGTATGGCATTGTCCATGGGAGTCTCATATGTGAAGGTTAGATTCATGCAGCTTTGTTGGAACTGTGCCATGGTGGTGTTGAGGCATCCCTTATCTTTTTTGTTAATTTTCGTGGTGCATAAAATAAGAAACCCGTCCACATATCTAAAGGTACTTACTATAGGTGTGTCTTCTAGGACCTTCTGGATGGCTCGTTAACACCTTGGCAAGAAAAATATCGCATAAAAGTTTAGCCACTTGTGAGCCAATACGCACTCCACTCTTTTGCACGTACTGGTGTTCCTGATGAGCTACTACAGTCGCTGATAGGTGAAATTGTAGGATTTCCAAGAAATGCCAAAACCTCATTCCTGTATTATTCTGGAAATTGAAAAGGCCTCTTTTTTGATGGTGGTTTTAATGACTTGTAGGAGGCTCGTATGTGTGTGTAGGAGGCTCCCTCTTTCGTTCTGCTGGTTTCACCCAAGATGCATCAGAACAAACTAGCTCAGCTTGTTCCCTTAGTAAACAATATTTAGATGGGAGTCAAAGAAAGAATAAAAACACTTAAGGACAAGGACAGACAGCACAGTTCTTTGAAAGAACTGTGCTGTCTGTCCTTGTCCTTAAGTGTTTTTATTCTTTCTTTGACTCCCGTATTTTCACCAACACGCTCTTTCATCTTTGTCTAATATTTAGATGGCTTGAGTATGATTCCGGCGGCCCGTTTGGCATTGAGAACATTTCGGAGTCGTCCTAAGTGCTCGTCAAAGTGGCTGGAAAACACTGCGACATCGTCAAGGTAGACGCGACAGCTCTTCCAGTACGGTGTCAATGACACGCTGAAAAGTTGCAGGCGCCGTGCGTATTCGGAAGAGCATCACCTTGGACTCGTACACCCCATCCGGCGTGACCAAAGCTGTTTTCTCTCGGTCCCGTTCGTCAAATTCGATATGCCAGTAGCCGGTCTTCAGGTCCATCAATGAAAGGTACCGAGAGTGGCGCAGCCGGTCTAACGTGTCGTCGATGCGGGGGAGTGGATAGACATCTTTCTTCGTCACCACGTTCAGCTGCCGGTAGCATACACAGCACCTAAATGTTCCGCCTTTCTTTTTAACTAGCACGACAGGAGAGGTTTATGGACTGCTTGAAGGTTGGATTATGTCGTCGTTCAGCATCTCTTGAATTGCTCCTGTATTACCTCTATTTTTTTTACGAAGATTCGGTACGGCGATCGATACACAGGGAGCGCGTCACTCTTGGTAACGATTCGGTGCTTTCCAACGGCGGTTTGGCGGAGCTTCGACGGCGTCGCAAAGCAGTCGCTGTATTCGGAGAGGAAGCTAATCAGCTGCCGTCGTTTCGGACCCGGAAGATTAGGGTCAATGCCAGGCTTCGTTGGCGACGTACTGTTTTGCTGAGGTGGCGAAGATTCGTCAGTAATCGTGACTATTTCGGCAGAGTTCCTGAGCTCCTCGACGTGGTCCACAGCTACACTTTTAGTGAGGTGTTCCGTTTCTTGTCGGAAGTTTGTCACGAGGACCACAGTGCGTACATCTTCAGGTTCATATACTCCTCTTGCGACGCCAATACCTCTTCACAGAGGCAATTGAAGATTGTCTTCCAGATCTTCGCCGCAGGTAGCTGCATTGATCATGATGGGTACAACAACACTTGATCGCGACAGCTGGTTAACGTGGTCGGCAGCGACTTGGACGGCGGCTCACGATGTTTGGAGTTACCCTGAAGGGCAGAACAGGTGTCCGCCGCGTCAGTTTGTTCTGTTCAAATGTCGATTACGGCGCTATATTCACATAGAAAGTCCATGCCGAGAATGACGTCTCTGGCACAGTCTTGTAGAAACACGAATTTTACAGGGCACGTCCCGCCGTGAATCTCGACTAGGGCGGTGCACTTTTCAACGAGCGTAATAAGGTATCCTCCGGTGGTTCGAATTTGTGGTTCACACCAGGGCGTCACAACCTTCTGCATGCGGCGAGAGAGCCTCCTATTCAAGTCTGAGTAGTCTGCCCCGGTGTTTACGAGTGCTCATGCATCGCGGCCGTCGATAACAACGTTTAAGTTGTTGGGCATTGGTGCGGAAGCGTGGTTACCATGCGTGGCGTGAAAAGAGTGGGAGCGCCCCGGCGTCCTTCGGTCGTCCTCGGCAACGCCACCTCCAGGCGTTGCTGCACTCAGTTTTCCCGGCGAGAAACGGGCAAACTGCTCTCTCAAAGGAACAGACGAAGAGGCGACACGGGGCGGCGTGGGGACGGCAAGCGGGATCCTCGGAGATGAGCTTGCCCAAGGGATGGTGGCCGGCGCGGGAACTCCTTGGTATCCTGCGATCGCACACCGTACTTCGGACACGGGGCGTCTGCTGCGAACCCTTCAAGTCCAATTTCGCGGTAAGCGCGTCGTCGATATACATGGCCAGCTTCGGCGCAGTTGAAGCACACCGGCCGTCGGTCAGCCGTTCGCCAGACGTCAGTCCACCTTGGTGGAAGTGGTTTACCGTGCACGTGCACTCGATCTTCCTGGCGTCGGGGATACTGTGTAGAAGGGGCGCCTCGTCAAAGTAGCGCTTGGTAGAGATGGCCAGCCGGCGGTAACCGTCGGGCTACTGTGGCGCATGTGTCCGTTGGCTCTTCAAGTGGGGCCACGATGTCGGGAGCCTCTGATCGGATGGCTGGCTGAACCTCTTTTCTCACTACCTTGGCGACCAAAAATGGGGCCGGACGTGCGGCAGCGGACAGCACCCTCGTCAGCTCTTCCTAGACGACCTCACAAATGACGTCGCAGATTCCAGTGAAGCTACAACGGATGTCGTAGCACGAAGGTGAAGAAGTAGCTACGCCCGTGTGCCGATGGTAGTGGCTGGCTTCTGCGAGGAGGGCAATTTACATGCTCGTGGCCTCCGTGATGAGAGGTTTGACAGTAGAAAGGGGTTGCGAACAAGACCACCGAAAATGTCAGCCTTCCACTTCGTATGAGGATCCGCACCTTCTTTTTGTCGGTGGCTCGTGAGTCGGCGCGAGCAATCAGATGCAGATCATCCTCGAAGAAGCTGGTGATACTCTCATTTAGGCTTTAGGTCCTTGTTCGAAGGAGGTTTTCGGCCCTCTCGCGTCGGTGTAGGCTGGTAAATGTCTTCTTCAGTTCAGTTCCTTCTTGCACACCTCCCACGAAAGTTAGATTAGGCATGCCTATATCGATTTATTGCTTTGTTTAGAAGGGGTGACTGCGGCAGCTTTACGAGGATCTCAATAAACCCTCTTTGCTTAGCCCCAATGAATTCAGTATCTCAAGGCTTGCTTTTACTAGACTTTTGTGTGGGTCGTGTTCGCTAAACACACACCTTACAAGCAGATGTAGGGAGTTTCTTGATAGTTAAACATATTATGAAGCTATTAGAACGCAATAATTTCGCAAATTATTCATAGAGTAAGCCGCCATGCACAACTGATCTCACTCCCTTAGTAGCGCTTCGGTGGCACAAACTGATTGTCAACTCTACAAAGAATATAACATGAATGTGTGCGGGAACTATGTGTCTGGTGTTATTAACGACGTTGTATTAAGTGTAGGCACTAAATAAGTACAATACTAAATGAATGATTTTTATTAAAGGGATTAAATATGCGTGGGCGGGATTATAAACCGCGTCGATCTTGAGAATATAAATGTAACAATTTCTTCGTTGCTGTCACTACGAACTATTCACGTACTCCTAACTACCGCAGAAAGTTCTTCCTGATTATATTTATTCCTTTTCACCTGCGTCCTCATTAAGAATCATAATCACACAACGAAAGCATGAACCCAATTATTTGGACCCCGAGCATGAATCGAAGCACTGATTAAACGCAAGCTACGGCCGAGCGCCGACGCAGAACATATATCCCCTGTCAGTGCTTGAACGTTTGGTGATGGCGTTAAATTTTGAGCGAACGCGCCTTACCATCCCCCTTATACCTCTAACCGGCAGTACGTTGGGATCGACGTGCTCGTCAGACCAATCAACCGTCAGTCTTGCACCATGTGATCATGGTCTCCGAGGATATTCACGGAAGAGATCGTGAGCAGAGAACAATAAATTACTGTCGATTGATTGGTCCCGTAAGCATCCGGCTTCAGAGACCCTGGCAGCATAGCTACAAATTAAATATAGTTTCGGTGGCTTTGGCCAAATACGGTGTACAACGCGAAGGTTTAATTAACAAGAAACGCTGGAGAAGTCAAAATACAACAGCTAGACACAACGAAAATGTGCTCTCCCAGATTAATAGAGCATACAAATGTGCACAACGAAGTCCTCTTAATTGTTGTGTTCAAAAATCTTGCCTGAATATTTTTTGTTCGTATATGAACTTTCATAAAATGTTTAGTTACCTTTAATATTGTGTTCCCAACTTCGGTGGCACGGCTCTTAAATCTTCGTTACCGGAAGAGTGCTTTATTGTATTGTTAAATGAAAATGGTCAAATGGTTTTAACACAGTCATTGAAAAGTGAACCTGAATGAATACCTACGAAATGTTTATCTGTAGTGAAAATTATATGCCCGAGTTGTGGTTCAAATTTGAGCGTAAGCCACTTGAAGGTAACACTTTTGACATTTACTTTGGTTTTATTCAACGAAAACCCTGCTGGCACTTCAAATCATGAAATTTTTTTAATGCAAACATCTATATTTGTTACAATGAGATAAATTAGTTTGTTCGGCTTTCTGTTTTGGAATATTTTCTGTGATGAAAATTTGTCCTAGTTTCTTTAAGAACTATACTCTCTCTTTTTTTATGACGCACATGTCTAATAAATGAGCCATCCAGGCATAACAAACAGTTACAGATTTAATTGTTGTTTTTCCCCCAGGGTGAACCTTGCAATGGGAAATTCTCCAGAATTCTTAGCTGCGTTCAGCTGCGATGATGACTCGCCTATGAACATTAAAAAGAAGTGCACCATGTGGTAACCAAACGCAGGCCACAATTCAAAATAAAATTGCCATTAAATAAATTTCATCGACTTAACCCTGGATCTCTCAAACGTGCATATGCACTGGTGCTGCAGGTATAAAACCTTTACGTATATAAAAAATAAATATAAAACACTCGCAATGCATCAGTTTGCCTAATTTTTACTTTGCAAGCCAGTACTTTCACAGCGAAATTCAGCATCTCATTTGTTTCAAACGCCTTGTTTTTTTTTTGTTTATGTTTTGTTTTTCATGTTCAATATTTTTTGTTGCCGTTCGTATTTTTCGAACTATAGTCTGCACAGTTCGCACGTGAAAAAATTCGGTTGTGTGTATATTTATTCAGCCTAGAGCTTGGTCTACCTCAACACGCGACCAGTCTCCCAGCTTTATGGTAATAAAACCCGAGACTCAAAAACACAGAAGGGGACGAATACAACACAACGTCTCAAACACAGCTGAAGGTTTATTTGTCAGACGCTCGTTTAAAAAAGCGAGCTGCCCCGGTGCCCAAACGATATCCACAGTCCCGAAGGTCAAGCCGCTTCCTACCGTCCAGTCCACGTCAGCAGCCCCCTCGCACACACACCACTAGGCGCCACAGAGTCCATGAGAACGTCCACGCAGTTGACTTATCACCCTCCACTGGCACCACTGCTAATCCCCCCCTTCCTCGCAAGGCTTCCTTGCCCCCCGCCGTCGAATCGTACACAAGCACAGCACTCAGATATACCCCCTTCCCGTCTCCCCCCCCCCCCCCCTTTACAGTTACCGGCGTAAACACTAACCTCGAAAACACATGGGGAGGCCCATCCAGTGAGCCAAAATGCGCCGCAAACTAATCTCAAAGCCGTGCAGTTTGTTCCGCTATCCGTCCATCCCCCCTTCTATGTAGTTCCTCATGTTTAATTACTGTTACGAACACGCTCGCTTTGTACTTACTTATCCCCGACTTTTCCAAAAACATACCCCCCTTCCCTTCATTTCCCTCTCCTTCCAATGCCTTAAAAAAAGGCCACTTTTACTTAACCTTCCGGCTGGATCACACCCGTCACGGCGACGAAAACTCCGTTTCTGATATAGGACCAGGTTAGGTTGTCTCAAGAAATAGAAGGATTGCTTATGCAATTCCCAATACTCCCTATTTTAATGGTCTCCCTCAATACCCTTTTAATCGCATCTTTTTTACTGTAGATAATTTCTGTTCTGGCCCACTCCTAAACATGTCTGGCTATTTCTGAATTTTGAGCCCACAATGCTACTGCCCTTTGTGCTCTAATAACCGGTCGTTTATACATCTTCCAGTTGGGCCAACGTAAGTAAAACCACATGTCAATGGGGTTTTCCTTACGTTTTACTTACCTTTCCTTACGTTTTACTTACCCCTTTTTGACTCTCGACTTCTCTATTTTAGTGTTTTTTTGGGCACCCGCTCATCCCTCCCGTGAATCGGGTTAGTCTGCTGAGTTTAAAATCCGGTCTGAAAACCACAGTTACGTTAAATTTTTTAGCAACAGCCTTCAAATTATAGGAAACCGAATGGTAAAAGGGAATGCAAACTACATTGTTCATGTTTTCTTTTACTCCGACCGTACCCGCCAAACGCTGCAAACCCCTCGCGGCTACGCTTTCCACAAGCTCCCTTTTGTATCCTGCCGCTAACAATCTAGACGCTTGCGCCTTTATGCGCACAAGATTTACTGAGCTTTATGCGCACAAGATTTACTGAGCTTTATGCGCACAAGATTTACTGAGCGCACTATTCAACAGTGAAGCGGCAACACCTCTCTTGACCGTCCTGCCATGACAGCTCATGTAGGGCAACAATGGCCTGGGTTCATCCCTGCCGTACCTCCAGCAGAAACCGTTCGCCAAACTTACCTTAACATCCAGAAAATGTAGTGATCCATTTTTTTTAAATTCTTTTACAAAGGCCAGCTCAGGCACCGCGTTTCGGATGAAATCCACAAGCATCGGCGAGTCACTGCTTCTCGTCGTACAAACCAAATGTCATCGACATGGCCTTTCACTAAACCGGTCCCACCTGACATCGACGTCAACACCGTTTCGACTTCAGAAAGAATGGGCGCCAATTGTGAACCAATGCACACACCTTTTTTCTGAACCAATTCCCTTCCTTCAAAACCCACATCAGTGACCGACAAATACCTCTCCAATAACACCAAGAAGCCACTAATCCTTATGCCGTAACTTTTCTGAAATTTCACTAACCCCAACTCGAGCCAATCCCTCACATGTTGCAACAACACACTCTGGCGCATTTTGGCTCACTGGGTGGGCCTCCCCATGTGTTTTCGAGGTTTGTGTTTACGTCGGCAACTGGAAAGGGGGGGGGGGGGGAGACGGGAAGGGGGTATATCTGAGTACTGCGCTTGTGCACGATTCCACGGCGGGGGGCAAGGAAGCGTTGCGAGGAAGTGGGGGTTAGCAGTGGTGGCAGTGGAGGGTGATAACTTAACTCCGTGGACGTTCTCATGGACTCTGTAGCAGCTAGCGCTGTGTGTGCGAGGAGGGCTGCTGACGTGGACTGGACGGGAGGAAGTGGCTTGACCTTCGGGACTGTGGATATCGGTTCGGGCACCAGGGGAGCTCGCCTTTTTAAACGAGTGTCTGACAAATAAACCTTCAGCTGTGTTTCAGACTTCGTGTTGTGTTCGTCCCCTTCTGTGTTCCTGAGTTTCGGGTTTTATTACCATGAACCATCACCAGCTCGCTTGTTTTGTAAGTATTACTGCAGTTGTTCTCCCAGGTTTAGGTGAGAAATGCCGCCAGTGCACTACAACCGCTAGCCTGGGGTCATTAACTTGCACCACGCAGTTCTGATACACGACCGCACGCTGGTACGATGCTCATCCAGATCAAAGCGCGCATGTGTGTGGATTTAACCCAGAATCCTGGGTGCTGCAGCGGGAGCTTTCGCTCCACGTGCTCTGAGCTGGTGTACGCTAACCCACTCGGCCACCACTCATCCCTAGTTCGCACGTAAAATTCTCATTAGCTGTGGATCTTGAAAAGTGCAAGTTTTATTAGCACACAGAAAAATACTTTTATCATACAGAACTAATCATTAACATAACCTGAGATGTACATAATTTGTGATGTCTCGTCAAATTTAGCAGTATTAAAAAAAATTGTTCTCTTGTCCGCACTCGTAGATGATCCGCACCGCGTAAACTTTGAACTTTCAAACGTGCATATTCAGAGGACTCTAGTGCAGAATAAAAGGCACTCTATACTGTAAAGAATGCCAGTGCGTCTACTTTCAAGCACAACACATGGAGGGCCAATCACCTCAACTTATGGAGGCAGCTCAGTGCATCACGATGCAGTAACATATTCTTAGACCAAAAAACGCAGTCTCAGTTGTCACATTAAAGGGAGATGGGGCACTTCTACATTTGAGAAAAAACGCTTGCATTGTGTTCATTTGGCCTTTAGAATAACAGTGATCACAATTTTATTTCAATGCGACGCGCCGGAGAGCTATAAGCGTAATTACAAAAGAGGGCTGAAGCCCCGCGTTTCTAGGCTTGGGCAGCCAAAAGATCCGTCGATGACGTCACGTACAGCGACTGTGTTTCGTGTTTTTCTCGCGTTTAACAATACTTGCGCAGCAAATGGTTTGAATATTCGGGTTCGTAGGGTAAAAATACACTAGAATTCACTTCTAACTCATTTTTTTCAAGATGCTCCATAGCTTCCCTTAAGCAATGCAAGCGTGACGTTTTGCTCTACCTAATGTAGCAAATCAGACTGCGTTTTTTGGTCTAAACATACGTTTCGGCATCGTAATTCGCTGAGCTGCCTCCTTAAAGGGTAACTGCAAAGAAAAAAAAGTTTTTTTTTAAATAGCCTAATTGGGACAAGCATGTCAAAAAACAATTTTTCCGCGAGAAAAAACATTTTTTACAGCAATATTTATTGCGTGAGACTGATTTTAGTTTGCGGCTATTTCGCCCGTTTTAAATCGCGCGCCACGAAGTTGTGATTATGTGACGTCAATCCCAAACGGTTCTCATTGGCTAAGAGTTTGATTGACAGCTTAGACCTTGGTTGTTAAACCTTTGTTATTCGTTGCAATTTCCTTTTGAGCGGCATATTTTTACGTTTAAAGAATAACCCATGTGATGAGAGTTATTATTCTTTACAAAAGGTTTACAAGACGGGCACTTCCGTTTGGATTCATACAAACAAAAGTTTTCGCCATCTTTCATGGCCTCCGAAGTCTGCTCCCGCCTGTCTCGCCTACCTCGACTAATCGTTTCGCCGAAGTGATCAGTGTTTCGTCGTTTCGTGCTGACCCAGGTGCTTGAGTGAGACTTCTTGAAGTGAAGTAGTGTGTGTTTAGCAGCTGTCGCAGGTGTTAGTGATAGGAAGCGACGCGGTGTTTTGGCTTTCATAGCGCGGTTCTTTCGTTTTCCTCTTTGCTTGCTTAGCGTGCTTTTTTTTTTTTTTTTTTTGCTTGTTTGTGCGTGCAAATGCTGACTTTTCGGAGATGTTAGATGCGTGATCCCGACAGTGAGCCTTCCAGCAGCCATGTCGCCCCGAGAGGAATGCTATTTGGGTGGAGGCAATCGGGCGTTCGCGTAGCGACAAGCGTGTCCAGTTACGTTCTCGTCATATCGCTCTGGAGGCCGTCGAGATTCGCCCCGTGTGCACCTAACGTCCGCGACTAGACAGAAAATAAAAAAAGCACTATGTCCACTACATAAAAATGGTCTCAGTTCATGCATCTGTAGGCAGGTACGAAATCGTGCCCAAATTTATTCACACCGCACGATGCAACACGTCGCTGTGCAAACGCAGTCCAACACGAAGCATAAAAACGGCAGATTTAGGACAACAATGCGAAGTCCATTGTTCAATTAAAACGTAGTAATTTTGTTGAAAACGCCCGCAGCTTTTTACTCACGGAATGCGTCGGGAAACTTCCACATTTTGAAACAGAACGAGGCAGATTTACTTTTAAGAACGCT